AGAGAAGGAGAGAGAGAGATGATAGAGAGAGAGAGAAAGGACAGAGAGAGAGAGGACAGAGAGAGAAAAGGAGAGAACTGACAGAGAAAGAGGGCAGTGAGAAAGACAGAGAAAGAAAGAAAGGACAGCGAGAGAGAGAAAGGACAGAGAGAGAGAAAGGACAGAGAAAGAGAGAGAGAGAGGACAGGGAGAAGGCAAGGACAGAGAAAGAGAGAGGGAAAGGAAAGAGAGAGAAGACATCGAGTGAAAGGACAGAGAAAGAGAGAGAGACAAAGAGAGAGACAAGACAAAGATTTTCTGAAAAGGGGCAGACAGCAGGTGAGAGACCCCCCTCACCCCCATTTACACTGCACAAGGGCATTCATAGAATCCCTCCAGCGCAGGCAGGGGCTATTTGGCCCGGTGAGTCAATACTGGCCCTCCAAAGAGCCTCCCACTCTATCCCTGTAACCCTGCATTCCCCATGGCTAACCCAGCGAACCTGTAGACAGGGAGGTTAAGAAGGTGTTTATCACGCTCGCCTTCATCGCTCAGTCCTTTGAGTGTAGGAGTTGGGGACGTCACGTTGAGGTTGTACAGGGACGTTGGTGAGGCCTCTTCTGGAGAACTGTGTCCAGTTCCGGTCTCCCTGTTACAGGAAGGATGTTATTGAGCCGGAGAGGGTTCAGAAGAGATTTACCAGGAAGTTGCCGGGAATGGAGGGTTTGAGTTATAAGGAGAGGCTGGGACTTTTTTCCCTGGAGCGTCGGAGGCCGAGGGGGTGACCTTACAGAGGTTTATAAAATCATGAGGCGCATGGATAGAGGTGAACAGCCGAGGTCTGTTCCCCCCCAGGGTAGTAGGGGGGTGAGTCCAAAACTAGATTTGGGAGGGGAGAGGTTTAAAAGGGACCTGAGGGGTAACTTTTTCACGCAGAGGGTGTGTGGAACGAGCTGCCAGAGGAAGTGGGTGGGGGGGTCGGTACAGTTACAGCATTTAAAAGGCATCAGGATGGGGACATGGATAGGGAGGGGTTCGGGGGGATAGGGGCCGAATGCTGGCACATGGGGCTAGGTCAGGCTGGGATTAGGATTGGACCGGAGCCCCTTGCTTCTGCGCTGCGTGACTCTCCGAGATAACCTTCGAAACCCCATCGTGTACAGACCCAGCGTCTTCCAGTCCTCCTCATGTGACACTCATTCGGCCCCGAGGTCAGTCTGGTGAATGTCCTCTGCGCAACCCCACCACCCCCTCCAAGAGGCAGTACGTCCTTCCTTAGATACAGGACCCCCCCAAACCAACCCCAAATAAAAAAACCCCAGTCACCCCCATATTCCAGACGCAGTGTGACCAGATCCGAGTGCGGTCTGACCACACGGGGAGCTGTCAACGCTAGATTTCTCCATCGAATTTAAACCCCAGCAGGAGGCTGAGAGTGGGACTCGAAACCCCCTCCCCAGGGAGCGAGAGGAAACCCATCAGTGCCCCCAATCGATGGCGTGTTTGCACGGCGAAGCGGGCCCTTTAAGGAGTTGCCCGTCCCTTTAAACGGCTCAGGTCTCGGTGGAGAAGGTGGGAGGGGACTGCTGCAGAGCAGATGGCAATATTTAAAGGGGCAGGGCTCCTTCCCGACTGAGGCCGACAGGTATTTAAAGGGGCGCGCTGTCTCTCTCACGATCCACGCGTTTAAAAATGAAGGCGTGGGATGGGGCGGCCAGGAAATTGAAACAGCCCCCAAGCACAAAGTCCTGGGAATCTGAAATAAAGACGGAAAATTGCAACAGGTCATATTGGTTTGGGGTGTGGTAGAGAATTGACCGTCCTCTCCTTGAGAAGGTGGTGTGGGGTGGGTTGGGGGGGTGGTGGGTGGGTGAGCTGCCTTCTCGTTCCCCCAGGGAGGGGAATTCCAGGGATTCGGACCCAGCCACACTGAAGGGACGGCCGATATATTTCCAAGTCGGGACGGGGAGTGGGCTCGGAGCGGGGGATCTCGCAGGGGGCCGGTGTTCCCATGTATCTGCTGCCCGCCCCCCCCCTTGTCCTTCTAGATGGTAGTGGGGCAGTGGGGGTTTTGGAGGGTGCTGCCCGAGGACCCTCGGTGAGTCTCTGCAGGGCGTCTTGTAGATGGTACACACTGCTGCGGCTGTGCCTGAGCGGTGGGCAGGAGCGGGTGTTTGTGGATGTGGTGCCAATCCAGCAGGGGGGGTCTGCTTTGTCCCTGGACGGTGTGGAGCTTCTCGAGTGTTGTCGGAGCTGCCCCCCAGTCCAGGGGCAAGTGGGGAGTATCCCATCACCCTCCTGCCTTGTGTCGATGGTGGGACAGGGCTTTGGGGGGAGAGGGGGGAGACAGGAGGAGAGTGACTCGCTGCAGGATTCCCAGCCTCTGACCTGCTCCTGTAGCCCCTGTGTTTATGTGGGGCCGGTCCACGTCCAGTTTGTGGTCAGTGGGAACCCCCAGGATGTTGATAGTGGGGGGATTCTGAGATGGTAACGCCATTGAACATGGGGGCGGGGGGCGATGGTGAGGTTCTCTCTCATTGGAGATGGTCCAATTCCCTCATGAGATGAGGGTGGGGGTCAATGGTTGCTAGCCAGGCGAAGTATTTATCACCCACCCATCCTTAATTGCCCCCTCGGGCCTGCCTGGGCTTTTTCGGGGGAGTGGGTTAAGAGTCGACCCCGGGGGAGGGGGAGTCTGTGCAGGGCCTGGAGTCACGTAGAGAGGCCGCTGAGTTGGGGGGTGGTGTAAGGACGACAGGTTTCCTTACTCCTAAAGGGGGGGAGGGGCATCAGTGACGGTGTGGGGTGGGGGGGGCGAGGGTTTGGATTGTCAGGTGGTGACGTTGGCGTCGTCTACCCTCCTGGGCTTGAGGGGGTAGATCAGGGGGGCAAACACTGAGGCCCTGGGGGGAGTCTCGATCTGAGCTCCTCAGGACTTTAGTGGTGAGAGTTGAGGAGGGGAATGCAGGGGCGGGGGGTGGGGGTTAGCTACAGGAGGGGAAAATGTAGAAACAGCCAAAGTCTTGGCCTAAGGAGCCCATCACTCCCTCCCCTCCACTTTAATATGGGACCCCCCCCACCCCACCCCCCACCCCCTCTCTCGCCTCTGTCTCTCTGTCCTTCTCTCTCTCTTTCTCTCTCTCCCTCTCTCTGTCTCTCTCTTGCTCTCTCTGTCTCTCTCTTTATCTCTCTCTCTGTCTCTCTCTTGCTTTCTCCGTCTCTCTCTCTCTCCCCTTCTCTCTCTCTCTGTCTCTCTCTCCTTCTCTCCTCTCTCTCTCTCTTTCTCTCTCTGTCCTTCTCTCTCTCTTTCTCTCTCTCTCTTTCTCTCTCTCCCTCTCTCACTCTCTCTGTCTCTCTCTTGCTCTCTCTTTCTCTCTCTCTCTTTCTCTCGCTATCTTTCTTTCTCTTTCTCTCCCTCCGTCTCTCTTTCTCTCTCTCTCTCTCTCTCGCTCTCTCTGCCTCTCCACGTTCAGGATTGGGAGCCGGGCATCTGGAGGAGGCTGGGTTTGATCCAGGGCACCCCCACAGGGAGTGGTGGGGGTTGGGGTGGGGGTGGGGGAGTGGGGAGGGGAAAGGGGCTGGGGGATGGGTTACGAAGTTCCCTTCCTCCGATAGCCATTAACCCTTTCGCAACAATGACCACAGCAGCGACACAAGGCAGGCTCCAGCCAAGAGCTTCCCACAGGCGCGCTCCACATCGCAGATAAGAGGGGCCAGGGGAGGCAGAGGGAGGGAGTGGGGGGAGAGGAGGAGGAGGAGGGAGGGGGTGAGAGACGGAAAGAGAGAGAGAAAGCGAGAGAGAGAGAGAGAGAGGGAGAATACTAGACCAAAGACACAGAGAGAGGGAGGGGGAGAGAGAGGAGGGGTGGGGGAGACAAAATACTAGACGAAAGACAGAGAGAGAGAGGGAGGGAGAGAGGGGGGAGGGGAGACAGAGGGAGAGAGAGAGAGAAACTGAGGGAGAGAAAATACCAGACCAAAGACGCAGAGAGAGAGGTACCAGAGTACAGAGATATAATCATAGACACACACACACACACAGACACACACAGACACACACACACACACACAGACAGACACACACACACACACAGACACACACACACACACACACAGATACACGCACTCACACACACACAGACACACAGAGACACGCACACAGACACACACACACATACACAGACACATGCAGACACAAACACACACACAGACACTCTCAGATAGACAGATGAACAAACACAGACACACACATAGACACACAAGCACACACACAGACAGACTTACACACTCATACAAACACA